CTGTGGCGGCTGGGGGGGACCGAGCCACCCCGACATCATCCCCCAAGGCTGCTGGCAGCGTTTCGGAGCCCAGTACCAGCTACCCTGGCCCTCAGCTGAAAATGCCTCATTCCTAATGCCAGCATCAGGAGCAGGGCTTCCCACCAGCACAGGAGCACAGCTTTGATGCTGTGAGCAGGGCAGAGGATGACTTACGATCCAGCAAGAAAAAAAAAAGCCTTTCTAAATCAGAGTAGCCACAGGAAAAAAAAAATACAAATAATCAGGATTAGCTGGCCTGTGTCCCCAGAAAAGCAGCAGTGAGACTTTCACATAAACTGTCTTGTTTTCCATGGGAAGCTCTGGTTGGATTCAGGCCAGGGTAGCTATGGAGAACCGAAGCTTCTACCTCACCAAGCTGAGGAGCAGCGTTGTTCCACCAGATTAAAGGCTTCCATGTTATTTTCCACTGCTGGGTGATGAATCCCCAGGGAGCACGGCAGGATTGTTTGCAACTGTAACAAGTGATGGCATGCCACTTTGGCAAAGTGAGTCATTGTCCCTGGGTGACTCATCCCCATCCATTTCCACTCATGCAGTGTTGGCCCTGCAGGACAATGCCGTGAGCCATCCCCAGGGAACCATGGGCATGGGAGAGGACCAGGGCAGGCAAGTGCCCCGCGAACCCAGCGTGGCCCTACAGCCCACCCATAGGACCTGCTGTTGAGGAAGGCCCTGCCATGCCCTGAGCAGAGGGCAACTTCAGTGATATACAACTGCCAAAATTCAGCCCCCAGGGCAAGGATAAGATCTTGGCTCACCCTGGTTTACAAACAGGAGCTCTCAGTGGGCGGTGAGGGGCAAATAACGCCTCCGGGCACCGCTCCTGGCAGCCGCCCCATCGCTCTTCAGTGGTTTCGTTGCACAACCTGGGACAAACACAGGAACAAATGGTCCTGACTTTTAAAACCTTATAAAGCAAGACCTGCTTGCCTGTTAACAGCTTTAAATAACACTTTCTTAACTCTACTCAAAGTTAATGCATGTATAACACGCATTTTAATTACATCTTTAGCTTCTAACAAAAAGGGTGCACTTACTGTCACAAAAAACTCCTTATTTGGTGTCTGCAATATCTTTATGGAGGGGTAACTTCAAAGCCTTGCCTAATCGTCATGCGTCAAAGCCTTTATTTCAGATTACCGTGTGGTCTCCTACGTCTCAGCTAAGTGGCCTCGTTCAAGAAACTGAAAACATGATGAAGCATTTTTCCTTGAACTGCTTTAGCGGGCAGGCTTTCACGCATTAAACCACTACTTGAACAATACTGACATATTAAGTTGAAAAAGAAAACCCTATCGGAGTCCTGTACAAGCAAAGAATAAATTACTGTCAGGGCATAATTCAAGTAGAACCTGTACCTTCCAGAATTATAATTAAAGATTAATTATCAAAGAAGACCTTATCGATTCAAACTGTACCATGTATCTCGCACACCACATATTTTTACCCTCAATTGTACTGAATTTCCAGAAGGTCACTCCAGGACACTTATCGTCATTAGATCGGCACTGAAGCCACTTCCCCAATGACCATATTGGGTCTGCAGCCCAGCTGTGAACTTTAGCAACACAAAACAGTCTGAGTGCTTTGCTATTTATTAACTTGAAATTCCAGGAGACAGCGATAAAATACTCTGCCTGATGATTGTGATAAGGTCACCGAGAGCCCAAAGGTCATTTCACTTCCCCAAAGGAACTCACTTTTACGATGACATTGGTGATCTCGGGGCTGGCCCTTCCTGCATCTCCCAAGGACCTCCCCTCGCTGCAGCGGATGTTGACAGAACTGTGACTTGGGTAAAAGTGGTAAAGTTAAGAAACACCCAACACCTTAAAGCCTGGCACATGGGAAGTGGGACGTGTGGGCCCTTTGTCCAGAACACAGGGCTGCAGGGGCATCTGGGAGCTCGAGCCTGTCCCCACACCACCCCCTTGCACCCCAACATC